TTGAAAAAACAAATTGAAAAGAAAAAAAAAAGTGTAAATATTTTCTAATTTTTTTTTAAAAAAAATTCAATTAAACATAACGTTAATACTAAATTGTCAGATAATCTCTTTTACGTGGCATTATGTGGAGTTTTTTTTACCTATTTTTCTAATTTTAATTATTTTTTAAAAATAAACAATAAAAAAAATTTAAAAATCAAATATATAAATAAAAAAATTAATAAACTTTATCTCTATCTCTTCAATTAAAATAATTAACAAATTTGATCTTTATCTCTTCAATTAATATTTTTCTTAATTAACAAATTTGATCTCTATCTCTATCTCTTCTTTTTTTTTTTTATAAAATCTTTATTTTATTTATTTTTATGTTATATTTTCAAATTAAATTTGATATCTATCTTTTTACTGTATCTAAATATAGTAATATTCCTCTCTCATTTCTCTACATTCCTCTCCACTTCTAATAAAATAAAATAAAAATATTTAAAATCTTCAATTAATGTTATATTGACTGTTTTATATATATATATATATATACATAATTATGATTGTAAAAGTTGTACGAATGGAATTCCTCTCCGCTTCTAATAAAAAAATCATTTTTTTATTTAAAATCTTCAATCTCAATGTTATATTGACTTTTATATATATAGATATATGATTTACAATTGTAAGAGTTGTATGAATGGAAATAAGCCATATTATTGATGCAATTTCTATAATTTGTTGATTGAACATTTTATTTGTACATCTCATTTTGCATAATTGAAGTTGTTCGAAAGGAATTGTGGCATTTTGGTAAAGCTTTGAAGCATAAGTTTTGAGGTCTCAGGTTTTACACTCTTTAGGGCCAATTCTCAGGAATTTGGTGCAGTGATCTTAAGACAGCTCTCTAAATGCTGCTCGACGAACCATATCCAAGGCTTGGGTGTGGGATTGAATCTCGACAGTTGTACTGTCTGACTTAAATGGTGTGCGCGTTGTGGAGTCAGTGCACACCCCTGAAATTTGGCCGTCGACTTACTTCGGTTAAACCGACATTAGGTAGTTGATTCGGCAGGGGACAGGCTTGAGAAGTTTACTCGTTAACCAAAAAAAAATTGTTCGGAAGTATATTATCAAATCTTTTATTTTTCTTTTTTTTTACTTCCTCGAGACTTATAAATGTTGAATTTTTTGATGATCATTTTTTTTTTTGTTGCCAAAAATGATTTATTCAAGAAGTTTGACTCATATTTCATGACTTTGTGTGTGCGCGCGCGGCGCGCACGTGCGAGCAATGAATTTGATGTATTTGTTTCCCTATTTCAAGTTGTACATTTTAATGTAAAGTGAACCGTTGGGTTGTGTTTGTTTTTTTTTTGTAATGTATTTTTAGATATGTTTGTAATGCACGTCTTTCACTTGGCATCAAAGCCTCGTGTCTTTCTCTATAAGAGATAGAGCTTGAGAGAAGATAAATTGAAAGTTCTTCTATTCAAAAAAAAAAAAAAAAAAAATACATGAGATATTTGAAAAAAAAAATAAATTAAAAAATCTATATTTTAAATTTTATTTTGCAATGCACGTTTTTCACTTCATATATTTATAATATCACATAAAAACTCATGTCCCACTCTATAAGAGATGAAACTTGAGAGAAAAGAAATTGAAAGATCTTCACATTCAGGTAAATGCATAAGATATTTTTAAAAAATCTTTACAATATTGAAACTTTTATTATTATTATAATTGATATTAGTTTTATAAAGCGAATATAAATTAATACACACTACAGTCCATGTATCTATCTAAATGTAGTTTTCTCTCAAAAAGTTTTAAAAGTATATTTCTCAAATTCTCATAATTTTTAAAATTTCTATTCCTAAGTGGTAAGGGTGCGTTTGTTTGGACGGACTGAATAAGGGGGGATTGTAATCCATCGGACTGTTAGTCCCAGGATACATTGTCCCGGACTATTTGGTTGGACTGGATTTGTATCCTATGTTTGTTTAGTCATAGGATTAGATGTGTGGATTAGATTATTTTTAATGAATCCAATGTTTGGTTAGACGGACTAGATAAGGATAAATGTTCAAAAGACTATTTTATCCTTGTAATTTATAATTTTTATTTAATATATAATTTTAAATTTGTAATCTATAATTTAATATTTAACAACACTAAAAAAATTTAATTTATAAGGTCATAATTTTTAATTTATTATTTTCAATTAAATTTAATTTTATAATTATA